AGAGAGAGAGAGAGACACAGAGAGAGAGAGAGACACAGAGAGAGAGAGAGAGAGAGACACAGAGAGAGAGAGAGAGAGAGAGAGAGAGAGGGAGAGAGGGAGACAGAGAACAAAAAAGTCGTGGACCTTGAGCTTGAAAGTGGGCACTGCACTAGGCTCTGGACTTGTCAAGCATCTGCTTCTCACCTTGGCAGGCACGGTGCTTCACGGGGATGCTGTCACCAACACAAAGCACCAGACCGGGGCCTGCACTTAAAAGGCTGCCGTGGGCCTTCTTCAAGGTCTCCAACGAAGCCGCATGAGCCTCTCTGCCGGGGTTGCGGCTCACGATCGAACTTGGGCATGCAGTGGCATAAGATGCTACATGAGGGCAACAAGGCATTCATGTTCAGACTCGCTCAACGAACACGACAATGAGCAACAGCCTCATCACAAGTCTCCCCTCAAACCCGCCTCTCGCGCGATGCGCTCGTCCGAGACCCGGCTATGCCTCAACTGCTTGTCGGGGTTATATGCAGGGGAGAAGCCAAGGCTTTGGTGGAGTTCACGCGGCTGAAAAACCGCAAGTCTCAATGCGCAGATGCAAAGATGCAGGCGAGCTGCGCAGCATCCACCTTCGCTGCGGTGGCTGCCAGCTCCTGCGGTGAACGGAGTGGCCCTCTCTGTACATCGCACATGCGATGACTCAAGTTTGCTACGTGCTGGTGCGTTGAACTCTGAGAAACGACAGCAAAGCACATGTTTCTAAGGTTTTCCAACTCAACAGCAGGCAGCCGATCCGACCTTTGCGTGCTTGTCGAAGGAATCGCCCATGGCCTTGCGCTGACCATGGATGCTGCGCAGGCAGAGAACTCCAAAGCAAAGCTCCGCGCCTTCTCCAAGAAGTCCATGCGCTGGCTGAGCGAAGCGTGGTGCTCCTCGAGCTTTTCGTCGAGCTTCGCCTGCCAGCACGGCTCATGGCCCAGAACAATCTTTTCCAGGATACCGAGAGCTTCAATCGCGCCTTGCTGCCGGTGACGGTGCTGTGAATGGTGCTGTGAGACTTCTTGAGAGCATCGATGTGCTCTCCGTGCGCCTGTCTTGTGATTGGCTTCTCACAGAAGGGCTGCAAAAACACCGCCGACTGCCGCGAACCTCGCACCCGGAAACTCGCGCATGCATGTCGTCCAGCTTGGCCCTTGCATCTGCCAGCTCCTGCATGAAGCACACCAGGCCGCTGTATCACTTTCGAAAGCTGATTAGTCCTTGGCGTGCTTGCTTGCTGAGTCGCCGAGCATCTGCTCCACATAGGCGAGCCGCTCGGAGACCCTGAGCGCATATAGCACTCAGGACTCCGAGAGAGGATGGGACAAAGAGCCCGTTTTCCGATACCACCCGGGCAACACTGAGCCCCCAGTTCGCCAAGATGCGAAGCGTGGTTCGACTTAGCATCGCTGGCGATCTTCGAATGGAGATCTGCCAGTGCCTGGCAGACCGTGCGATTGACAGGGCGGGGTACAGCGGTGGTCCCAGGGCTGGCTTCGACAATGTTTCTGAGAACCGCTAGGCAGAAGCCGGAGATCTCCATCCTGCGCGTCGCCTTGCTGTGTTTGTCGGCATTGTCGCCCATGGTGGACTCCAGGAACTCCACGCGCTCCCTGGCAATGCACTGCTCTCAGAGTCCCACATCCCTGCAATGCCTCCACAGGGCGCGCCTCAAGGATGCATGGGTGACATCCTGCTGCGCCTTCTGACCTGAGCACAGTAACTCTGAAGTCCCGAGGGCGGGAACCGTTTCAAGTCTGTCGGTGGTTCTGTGCGGCACCGGTACGGGTATCTCACACATCCACTGAAGCCCGTGAACTGTGTGCAGAAAGCTGGGGCCCCTTCTGGTGAGCGCATTGTGGACCTCTCGGCTCGGAAGGTGGGCCCCTATAGGCCCTATCCCTCGAAGGTTCAACCCCGCCTTCTCCACACGATCAACCAGGTTGGCGTGGTTCCTGGAAGGAGGGGGAACGTGCCCTGTGAGTTTTCGCACGTGCGGGGCTCAGGCTGCTCCAGCGCTTGCTTCTCACCTTGGCAGACGAATTCTGGATCTTTAGGAGACCTCTACTTTGAAGCCGAAGCATATTGCAGAGACAAGATGGATGCGCAGGCCGCTGGGCTCGCAGGCTTTGCAGGTTGCTGTGGGCCTTCTTCAGTGTCTCTAGCGAGGCACCATGGGCCTGCCCAGGTTGCGTCTTCTCCTCTCTCGTGGTTGACTTGAGACAGGGCTGATGAGAAGTGCCAGCAGACGAAGCGGTGAAAGCAGGGCCTTATCGTGCTTCTCGAAGGAGTCCCCCATGGCCTCGCAAGGCCCACAACAGCCCCCAAACCTCTCAAAAGCAGGGCCCGCCCGGGGCCTTCTCCAAGAAGTCCAAGCGCTGCTGCAGCGTCGCGTGGTGCTCCTCGAGCCGGGCCTGCGCGCCCGGGGCACCGGCCGGGAGCGCGGAGAAAAAGGGAGGCTAAGGGACGGGGGAAGGCCCCACCTTGCTGCCGTTGTGGTCCATCTTCAGAGAGTCGCCGTGGGCCTTCCAAAGCCAAGGGAAGGAAAAAAGAAAAGAGACAAGAGTGTAGGGGTCCTTCGTGCAGGAGCAGAAGTAGCCGTCAATTCATGTGTGTGCAGTGTGGGACGAAAGACGGCCTCGCAGCCGGAGACTCGCGCGTGCATTTCTTCCAGCTTGGCCTTCGCGCTCTCAAGCTCCTGCACTGGAGGCTTCCCCAGAGTGCTGGCAGCACTCTGGTTGGAATGATATGCAGAGTATTGCTATGAACACAGTGACAAGAGACTATGGCAGCCAAAGAAAACCTGAACGAGAGCACTACCGTTGAAAAGCAAACCCGCACTCAAGGCCAGCTACTGAGTTGAAAAATAAGAGCCCTTCAAACACAAACGCTCTGAGTGTGTGTTGCGAACAATACGAATCACGAATGCACACAAATGATGCCAACAATCCTAATAACTAATAAGCATTCATAACCAGTGTCACCTTTGCTCATCGTACCAACGAAATATGCGGCGAAGGATGCCAAATCCTAAGTTCCACGGAAATTCTGCAGACAAGGCTATTTGGCATTGTGGTGAGCACGAACGATGTCCTGAGCCACCGGTGACACTATCCACAATCACATGCTCAGGTCTAACATCGTGAAAGCAGAAGCATGCTTGCTGTCCTGAGCATGTTTGCTCACAGAGTCACCGAGCAGCTGCTCGACGTACTGCAGTCGCTCCGCAAGCCTTCGATGCAAGGGTTCTGGGTTTTACAGCCAGGGTGTTTCAGGAGTCCATCATGCAGAGAAAAGAGGAGGGCGTAGCAACGGAAAGTCACTGGCAAGTGAGGTGACAACATTGTGGCGAATGGCCGAGGCTACTCAGAGGCTGCCGGGGCGCGACGCATGGCTGGACTTGGTGTCGCTCGTGATTTTTGCCTGCAGCTCTGCCAAGGCCTCAGCACTGTCTTGGGTGGTCAGAGGAGTCATCTGCTCGCACCGCACACCAAGGAAGGGAACTTTCCCGCTCGTGTACACTGCGAGGTACTCACAAATGACTATGAAAAGATGAAAAGTAAGCCTAACACTAACTTCAAAAAACATGCAACACCACGTGACGAACCACCGCAGAAGGCAGGAAGATCTTCGAAGCACCCACCCCACGAGGTGCCTTTCCATGCTTGTCGGCATGGTCTCCGACCTTGGCCGCCGTGGCCGCCAGCTCCTGGGTAGAGAGCTCAGGGGGAAACAGCGAAGGAGTCGAGGCTCGGAGAGATGCGTCGCATCACCAGAAGGACGAGCCAACAGGAAGAACATGAAGCAAACCGGTACCATAATGCTCATGGCTGTTGAAGGTACGTGAAGAAGGTTGTCGAGGCTTCTCAGGCAGTTGGGATGGCAAGACATACTCTGACCGAAGTAACTTAGAAGCATTCTCTTTAATTTCTTGAGGAAGGGTCCGTCCTGGACGACAAGCCATCTACAAGGAGCGTGCGATAGAGGTTCCGGAAGTCATCAATTTGGAGGCAGACACACAAGCCACTTGTTGCAAGGTGCCAAGATGCTCGAAACAAGTAAGTGTTTTTAGAGTGCAGGTCGTCGTTGCGTGGTGCTTGTGAACAAGACTTCTCTGACGGCTTCACTCTGGCATGATCATGTCTGGTTTGGGGCCGTCTCCCGAAGCCAGCACAAAGAAACTCTCTCCTTTTCGTGCTTGCCCAAGGAGTCGCCCATGAATTGTTCCAGGTACTCCATGCGATCTGTGAAGGGCATGTGGCCCTGGCACGGGACATTTCATCATTGAAGGGCTGAGACGCAGCAATGTGAGGCTTCCACCCAGTAATGTGGCATTGGAGGGTGCTAAATGCCAGAGTTGATGCTACAACTATGGAACGCACCGGATACTGCGAATGCTTTTAGCACTGACAGCACACGTCAAATCTCCACAACATGCCACCGACCTTCGTGATTAAAGCCCTTATTCGGTGGGCCTTCGCTTGCCGATCCACAGAGCCACCCATGAGCCTTTCGAGGTAGTCCACGCGATCCTGTCCGAGCACAAAGGCTGCGTATGCTGCCGCGCTTTGAGGCACGGGTCTTCACAGACCCGCCAGATTAGTTTAGGGTTTCATAGGGTTTTGACAGCACTTGCACAGGAAGAGAGGCTCGGGCAAGGCCTGCACAGTCGAGTGCTGCTCGCCTTGGCGAAGCTCGGGCTCGGTGATTTTTGGTCTTTGCTGCGGCTCTGGGGCAGCGACCATGCCGCGACAGCTTCGTATGCAGATCCTCAGAAGTGTTCATGCACGCATTGAGAGTGGATAGCTACGGCGAGGCAAGAAGATCATGTGGCAAGCACTGACAAGCACAATGACGGCAATGGACATAACAATGACAATCAAGAGTATGGTGATAGCGAAAGTGAGCGTGAGAACTCTCTGTCCTGAATGGTGTGGTCGCGGGCAGCCTCCCGAAATGCGATCGGTCGAAGTGCCGCCATGACAGCCGAACGCTGTGGACCCTGCCTTCTCGTCTTCGAGGTGCTGGCGAAGAGCATGCTGATGCACCTACCCATTCTGGAAAGCCACGGCACCGCAAAGACTAACCCCACATACCACAAGGCGATCTCGCAAGCATGACCAGCCCACACTGAGATACACTGAGCCCCCTCGCGCAATGCAAGAAACTCGAACCAACCCATTAACACCAAAATCAAAATCTACACCTCCTGGCCACTCCCCCAATCGAGCCTCGAGCTCCTGTGCGGCAGCACACTCTTGGCTTTCGGGGTTCGACGGCGTGGTTTTCCAGTCGAGAACTTTAGGACATTAAGTTGATATGACCCAGGATGTCATTTCACACTGAGCGCAACTCGAAATGTGCTCTTCATAGAGGTGCGGTTGCCTTGAAACTGCAGATAAGACGACGTCTTGAGTTCGCCAGAGGGCGATGTTTGCTAAAAGAGCTATTGTCGGCGCCAATGAGTTTAGATTGCTTCACGTACCTTGGATTTTGCCTCGTGCATCTTGGTGCAAGCTCTGGTTGTGACTATGGGTGTTTTGCATGAAAGTCGGGTGGCTTGCGCAGAATGTCTGCGAAGTCTTAGTTGATTCAAGCCGGTGCCTCAGCACGTGTGTAGAGTGAGACTTTCACCTGGAATGCCTGTATGAGGTCTGTCTGGTGCAGCACGTATTTCATCATACTTCGAAGCAGGATGGAGCGACAGAAACCCGAACCTTGTGTCGACCAGCATGCACGGCGAAGCCTCAGCACATCGGTGCCCCAACAAGGGAGCTTGTGTTACTACTGCCCTGTTGCCTTGTTGGTCGCTCTGCTTCAGACATCGTAGCGTTCTGTGATCTGAGCTGCAGGCTCCCGTCGAGCTCTGCAGTCTTCTGCTCCAGCTTTGCCAGTTTCTGCGAGGGGCTTTGGAGACTTCTGTATTGTGAAGCGAAAACCGGGTGGCCTCCACGTGCTTCAAGTGTGATGCCTGGATCTCCTGCTTCCAAGGCATGCTGCACCGTGATTTGAGATCACCCTCCGAACTTGTCCGAGTCCTCGATGTGAGGATGCCAGGCCGTCTCCAGGACGCGAAGCTGCCAAGTCGAGAGGGGAACCGGTTAGGAGGAGTTTTTGTGGACTTCGTAGCAGAAGCCTGCTCCTTCATGTAGCTAATCTGCTCGTGCAGCGATGGCATGTCCTGTTCCAACTCCGACACCTGCGACAAAAAGTGAACGCTACATCCACTACAAAGTACTGGACGTTACAGTACGGGTGGGCACCGTAGCAACCAAAAGATGTGTCGACAACTTGATGACGTCGAAAACCAATAGCAGCAAAGGTAATGGCAGCAGCGGTAGCAGCAGCGGCAGCAGCAGCACCAGCAGCAGTAGCAACAGAAGCAGCAGCAGCAACAGCAGCAATGGCAGCAGCAGCAGCAGCAGCAGCAGCAACAGCAGCAGCAAAAACAACAAAAATAAGAAGAAGAAGAAGGAGAATAGCAACGTGATGAACAACGAAAGCCAGTGACAAGGATGGCAGATGC